TTGATAGACCCAGATTGCTCGTAGACTATGAGTCATGGTTTCGTCTTTCTTTTTCTCAACAAAAAGGGGCGAGCTCAACTTATGTCCTCCGTTAACGCCGTATATCGATGGTGTACACGTGGCTATTGAAGCTCGACCGATGCGAGCTTGCGGTGGAGGATCTAGCACATCCATTTTTCATGCGCCCTCAACATCTCCTCTTCGCAATCATCTCTCCCACAGTGCTCAGCCCGACCACCATTTGGCATACATCCGGTCGTAAAAACCAATGAAATAACGGGAAAAACTAAACTCAAGTCACAATGCGGCCACACGATGGTAAATGAGCTGGCGCCCAAAAGGCAGTTAGCTCGAGCAAAAACAGATTCTACTCCGACGATACTGGACAGTAGTTCCAACGATGAATACCGTTATCATAAAATGAGCAACTGACCACACCCCCATCTCGCGACGCCGACGTGATACCATACGCCATACTTTCATGCCCAGTGTACCTAACACCAGTGTTCGCTTTCCTCACTAAAATCCGAAAAAATGTGAAGGCATGAATGAGAACCTCTCGGAATTTCCTCGAAATTTTCATATTGTCACCATCATATGTGGTTGCCCATATTCATATTTTCCCACACTGTCTAACACACCCTGGAGTTTCTAGTGAAAAACATGAAGGTTTCACGACCACTGCATAGCGCTAGCATCGCGTTTTTCACCGAGTTTTACGCCACTCCGCGTAAAACGGGTGAAACTCCACTTATACAACACTATAACTAACATCCTTACTCTCCTATTCGTTCAGCCTCCCGACCATCCAAGAGCTCTTCCAGAGGCCACACTTCACATCCTCCATAGCAGCCAGCGATGAGCAAATCTTTTCCGGTGAGGGACGGCTTGAGTCTCCAAACGCCTCCGATCTGCGGCACGATATATAGCCAATCTTACTGTGATTTATGCTCAGTGTGGGAGGGGGAAAATATGCTCATGATCAACTACATGTGTTGGTGACAATATGAAAATTATGAGGAAATTTTGATAAGTTGTCGTTGGTTTCTGTACATTTCTACACAAATTTATATGTAAACTTCTGTAACTTCATGGTCACGGTGGTTGACGGCGGGGTAATTTGGGTGCTTCAATGGTGCCCTATGACAAGAATCCTAGGGTGCTTCAAGAATATGCTAAGAATATGTGGAGGTCTCCAAGTGCGTCGAGTGCGTAAATCAAATTAGCAGTAGAATGGGAGTCTGAAACCCCTTCCAGGTTAGTGATAGTGTTACTAAAGCTATCATATTGAAATATCAGGGTGAAACTCGACTTCGTTGATGAATTATGAGCTGCACACCATGTATGCTAAGAATATGTGGAGGGGTGTACTAAGAAACCCCCGAGCTCAGCTAATATGTATTCCGACACTGTTTATGCTACTTACCGCAGCTTGCCTCACTACACACTGCACACCACTAGCATCACACGCCGAGTCTGCTACACCAAATCTCAAGTCCCATACACGAACCTGAGCACAGTGGAATGTAGTTATAATGCACATCATGAAACGCTTCGCTCCGCTGTGTCCGAGACGAGACTATTCCAGCATGAAATTTAGGGCTTTTCAAACGTCTTTCCCACGTGTTGCGTCCAATGCCGACCAACCATACCACATTCCGGGATTTTGCTCCAGGACCTCCTCAGTGATGAGAGATAATAAGAATCATGGCAAATTCAGTACAAGTAGAAACACTCCTGTTATGATGTAATATCATACTATTCTGACCAGTGCCCTTCTCTGTTCTCGATCTCCTAATTTATTATTAATATTTATATATATTCTTTATTATTGGTATGATATCGTTATTAGTGATTAAAACATGGTTATTATTATACGATATCCTATAACAAATAATAATTAATACACACAGGTAAATATATAAATCTACAGGTTATCGTATAATGGTATAAATGATATATATATTACTATATAATGGTATTGATATGGGTGTTATATATATGTTTATGATTATTGAGTTTAGGTTTTTCTGGGGACCTGGGCAAACCGGTGACCGTCGGTCTCTACTCAAGGAGTAATCACGTGGCGACTAAGGGCCCATGGACCCTCCCGGGAAGAGAGTCCATGCCCAATTCGCCCACCCCTATGTACGGCGCTGATTCCAGATCTAGAATCTATAACTCCGTGATTCCGTAGTTACTCTATAGAATCAGCCTGTACAGCCCGGCAAAAGCATCCCAATTTACGTTTTCATCGTAGCTGCCAGTGAGTATCCTTCGCCCGTGCTGTACGAACAAATATGCTGTGATTCCAGCCTCATGCTCCCTCCGATCCGATAGCACCTAGTCACGACAGGAGTTGACGAAGGTGTGGTATGATGAACTACACCAAAAAATGATAGTAGTTCAAGTTCGATCTATACCGAAAAAAGCAGAATTCAGCCAGAATTGGTAGTGGGTACAGTGCATGGCAATTCGCCACGTGGAAAATTAGACTTATCTTTCGAGACTAACACCAAACGATCCGAACCCTATTCCCCTCACCGGCCCGTCAGTAGCTGGTGTTCTCACATCCCACAGTTTCATACGACGATCATCACCGCCAGTGGCCAGCAGCGTCCCATCAGGTGACAGACAACCTAATGCAGAGAAACTACTACAAGGCCTGCCCAGGTGAAGCCTACATGTCCATGACTCCATCTTCGGATCATGTGCTTGCCAACACTGCACTACTTTTCCTTTCGAACCGTCTACTAGTGCTACCTGCCCTCCGGTTGCTATTGATGCTACTCTACGACCGCCTACACTCGGATGGAAAGGCATGACAAGATGTACCAATGCTTTCCTCACGAAATACAGTACGTGCCATCTAAAGCCCGACTATACGTGTGCAGAGGTAACTTATTCTACAGAGCGATTATCAAGCTAAAATTTTGAATATAAGCCCCTCTTATATAACTATATTGCATTTTGGAAAAATTTTTATGGCACTTTTTTGATATTGAACCTGCGTTCTCCGAAGTTAACCCAATCTACAACTATTGATCATCAGGCCACAAGTATGTATGACATAAAAACAGATAGGGAAAGTTCCTCAATTGACATATACTGCCTCACACAATTGACGACTCGCCACTTGATCGTCCAGTCGGATATTTAATTTCAACGAGTTACGTACCACACCTCTGCCTACCACTCGTTGGTATCAATCATAAACGCGACTTCATTACCACACAAAAACTCTCATCCCACGATCTACGACACGAAAACAGATTAGAAAATTCTACAAGTTTATAATAATTACAGCCACATAGGATCCACTGTTCGATTCTTTAAGCGGGCATTCACTTCAAAATGCAAATTAACGAAGTACATGCTCATCAGTATCACTTCATTACCGCTGTTCGGGACAGTAAGCTCACACCCGTCCTACCTTGAGTGACGTCCAATCCAATGGCCACCCCCTTCGCGCCCTCGCCAGTAAACATTGGAATCGTCGAACTGCACTCGACCATCTTACCATCCTCCGCTACCGTAAAACTGATTCCACACAGACCACAATAATTTGCACGCATGCACAAGTAAGATTCTCACAATTGGATCCCACCTTCGGCCGTACACGCCGCTAAAGACTTCGAACCAATCCACCGCACATCGAGTATCTTAGGTTGAATCATGAAAGATACGAATGAGGTCCACTAACATACCCCCGTGCGGTCTGTGCCAGTGATCTCCGATAAAACCGAACCATTGGTGGAGTCCAAAATCATCAGTCCGCCCTCTCGAAGACCAGTGGTCTCGTCATACTCATACATACCTACAACAACAACGACATAGACGTCATAGGAGTTTTCATAACAAAAATTCCAAATGCTTCTCCCAGACGAGTAAAATTCATACTCCCAGAAAACAGCTGCGAGGATCGAACAGATCATATAGGGCATTTCTCAGAATACAACCCGCGAACTTATATAATTCGACTAAGGCGAGAACCGACATGAAAATATTGCCATTCTGAGTTGTCTACCCATTACAACAGCTTCGTATCATAAACGCTACCTCCCCCCATTATATTACCAACAGCAAGCCGTTCTTGATGAGCCAAGTCTGCCTCTACTACATCAGGATGGAACGGTGCCGTTCGCTTCCACACTATAGGAGGACGATTGGACATTTGAGCTGCAATACTACAGAGGCACTACCCATTTTAAAGTAAAGTAAATGGTAATGACCATTGAACCCAGAATCTCAGCCAGAAACCCATACAGTGGCGACCTCCCAAAGGAGTTTCCTCAAAAAGCAACCTGTCGCTGAGTCTATAGCACCAGTATTCCAAAATATGTTCACTTCCCTCAGCTGAGCTCAGGAGTTTCCTTAAAAATTATAGTACTCAACATACGAATAGGGGTAGAAGTATACAGAAATCAACAACAGCTTCCCAAATTCTCCTCAAACACCAACACATGTAGTTGACCATGTGCGTATTTCCCCCCTTACTGCAGTCTAGGGAGACGTTCCTGATGAACGACCAGCGAGCCACTTCTACCACGCTCTTATCTAAGATAACTACCCCTGACTTGGCATATTTTGCGATCTTCAATAGGGAAGGTTATTATTTCACAAACTCCAGGTAGTGTTATACTACTCGTCCACTTCCCATTCATTGCATACATCCTACATATCCATACAACGCCTAAGACCCCAACCCCACTCATCTCTCGTTATAGGAGTATTCTGTACCCTGACAGTATCACTCAGCAACTTCTCATGCTTATGTGCCGGACCGTCTCTACCCTGTCCCCGTTGTGTCTCTGGCGTACAGCTCGCAGTATCTTTAAGCTGTGACGCTAGTTGATTCGTGAGTATTTCATAGAATTATTAGAACTCCTATATTGGTTACCTCGGCTCTATTTGGGTCAGTGTTAACTTAATCTAGTGGGTTTGGCATACTTAGACGGGACAAGCCACAAACAACCAGACCAACAACACTAGGGTTTTCCTTCTACACAATCCGCTACTTTAATGTTAACCCTACGAAATCACCCCTCCCCTTTGGATAGCACAGCGATGCAAGAGGAGTCCTCCGGAAACTGAGCACATGGTCAACTACATGTGTTGATGACAATATGGAAATTCTGAAAACTTTTTATTGGTTTCCGCACACTCTATGTAAACTTCTACAATTAATCGGGAAACTCCCGAGCTCAGCTGAGGAAAGCAATCCTATATTCCACCACTGCCTACAGCGACTGTTACTAGAACACAATTTCCCATAGGAGTGGTAGTACTAGAAGTAATATACCCTACAGTAGTATAACACCTCATAGAAACAGGATGACGTTGTTGTGATGGTAACCGTAGTAGTAGTAGTAGAATCGCTCAAAGCTGTTGGTCGAACATTTCCAGTAGACCCACACATGGCATTATCTTCTGCTCGGTGAGGACCTCAGACCCGATCGTGGTGCTCAGATGATTCAACGCTTTCACTAACTCATCACTCGGATTCGCAAACACCTAGAAAAACCAAAACACATATACAGAATACACTATATGCAAAAATAACATCTTCCATGAGGTCCGCAAATGACCGTCGACTTTCTCTCACCACACATTTTTCAAACCTTATCAACACCACAAAAACTTGGATGTTGGTAGGCATGAAATTGCGGAGCGAGCGAAGCGAGCGGAGCGTATTCTCTCACTTTACTAACACTTTGTGCGTGCGTGCGTACAAATTATCCAGCTCGATCTAGAGAGGTTATGATCACATGCTATACACCATTCGATAGCTCCCGCTCTGGGGATACTAGGAAAAATACGAAATTAGGGTTCCGCCCGGACCATGTAGATTTCCGTGCAAAAAACGTATTTTTGCAGAAAAACGCCAGGCATGGGAATCGAACCCGGATGCCGAGCTCCGCCCCTTCTCCGAGAAGGCCTAGTCTTAAGCTCTACGCATATGTGTTAGAAGCTTCTAATCATCGAAGCACTAGTATAGTTTCTGATTGTAATTTTGCTTTCGCAGTAAGAGGCAACTCAAAAAGGCGTACAAAAAAAGACATCATATCTTTGTACAGTCTACAACTTCTTGCAACATCCTTGCTACTACAACACTATAAGAGTACCATAGGAGGACACTACCTTCTGGTTAGTAGCAGTGAGAGCATCCAGCACGCTAGCCACCAGAGAGCCCAGTCTCGGGCCGTCCCAACTGCCCATCAGCTTGGCGAGGTAATTCACTATCTTCGCGCACTCCTCCTCCGTACGATTACCTAACAGGAAAAATACCTAGCCCAGGGATCGAACCCGCGACCTATCGCTTACGTGTAGCGCCCGTTAACGCGCCTCGCTGTCGAAGCTCGTCCAACACGGATGCTCCCATAACACTCGGTGTGCTACCCTCCACCACAGCATCCAACAACTTGGGATATCTAAACAATGAGAGTCAACCTGATTCTGTGAAGCGGCAATCCGGAACGGAAAAACTTTAACCATTTCATATTGTAAACACATGCATAAAAATCCAATTCCCGTCCATGCTTCGCTCCGCCCTTAAAACCCTCTTCAAAATTCATAGGAGCATTCATCTATGATCGCCCGCTTTATACCCAGTCCCATTGTTATTACTCGAATCGCCTCAATAGGACCTCCAAGTGAGAGTGTCTCACTTTAGCTGTTTGTGTGAAGTACTGTACACC